ATTCCTGGAGGGGGCGGGGCATCCCTGACGTGATGATGTCACGTTCGGGACGTCCACCACCGTCCCCCACCCGACCGCGCGCCAGATCTCCAGAAACGGCAGTTCCCTGCACTTTAGCCGGCGTTTCTCTTTTAAGTGCAGGAGCCGGCATTTCCCCTTTAAGAGCAGCCGCGTTTCCCTTTTAAGTGCACGAAACTGGCATTTCCCTGCAAGCCTGATCTCAAGCGAAGATCGGGCTTGGGAGGAAACACGGGTTCCACACACTTAAGGGGAGAGAGAGGGGTGGCTGTGGGTGTTGGGGCTTCCCCCGCTGGTCATCTGGCCGGCGGCGGGTAGAACCCCCCCCCAAAAAATGGGGGACCCCTGGCAAACCGGGGGGGTTGGCAACCCTATGCAGCAGCCATTTTGTGTTTGTGCCCTCAACCCTGTGTCAGAATTCCAAAGGTGCCCTCAGGCTTGAAAAGGTTGGGGACCCCGGTACTATGGAGGAGGGACACGCTCAAAAATCCCAGGATTTGTCCCTTGCATCGCTCACTGAAGGACCCCAGGTAGCAGGGAGATAATGCAGACTTGGATGAATGGAGGGAGCGAGGGACTCAGAAGACCACAGCTTCAGATCTTCGACTGCAGTTGGATTCTAAGCAAACCTCCGAGGAGGTCGTGTGCCCTGGAGCTATCAGTGGTCCTCCTCTCTTTGCAGAACTGGCTCCCCCAAGGGAACCCCCATACCCCCAGCTCTCTCTGCTTCATATCTGGTGTTCACTAAGTTGACAGAAACATTTTCAGCCCAAGAACGATCCTGGAACTGATCTTGGTTTTGAAGTCATGGGATTGCTGGCTATGCTTTTTTAGTAGTCTTTAAGCTTTTTTGGTAGCCTGAAATTCAGTGCTGGCAAGTGTAAGGTGATGCTGCTGCTGCTGCTACTTTCATTATATCCGTGTGCGTTCCTTCCTTGGCTCTCTGTGCTGGAGTTAAACATTGAGGACATCTGAGGATGGGCTTGTCCAAAGATGACTGGAGTAAAAAGTGTTTGCAGGCTGATATAAAATGTTTTTTTGCTCCTGTTAAAAAAAAAGTAGCTGTTCCTTTTCAGAAAGTTTTTTTCAGTTCTACTTTCACTGATTTACTTCTCTCACAGGTATGCAAGTGCTCATCACTGAAGGCTTTAAGAGACACTGGTGCTGAGCTCTTACAAACACGATTCATTATGGTTCTTGTGAGTGTTTTTACTTCACTGTGCACCACATGCACCCAAGGCTCTTCTTTTTGGAACACTCCACTGAATTTTGTAAATAAGCGGCCACTCGTGCAACAAAACATCACCTCTGCTTTCATTGTCTCATGTTTTAAGAGGTTAATTATGTTTCTATACTTCGTGGAAGATTTCACCAAATCACTTTTACTCTTAGGAGCAAAGTCCTTAAAGTACTTCATAACTGAACTGAAAACAATCTGTCTTCTCACTGGGAAGTCATCATGTTCCCCCCAAAATGCAGTAACGAAAGAAAAAAAAACCCCACAAATCGCTTTCACAAAAATCAAAGAAATACTGACTTTACTGACCATTTTTTAAAAAAACTGACAAATTACTGACCAAGATGAAAAAACTGACTTTTACTGATTTTACTGACCACACACACTGTATAGATCTACAGTGCAGCCTCATTTGGAATCTTTTGTACAGTTCTGGTCACTGTATCTCAAAAAGGGCATTGCAAAGCTGGAAAAAGTACAGAGGAGGGCAACCAAGATGATTTGGGGGTTGGAGCACCTTCCCTATGAGGAAAGGCTGAAGAGTTTGGGACTTTTCAGCTTAGAAAAGAGACGACTAAGGAGAGGATATGACAGAGGTTTATAAAATTATGCATGGGGTGGAGAGAGTTGTAAAAAAGAGAATTTTTTCTCCTGAAATACTAGAACTCAAGGGCATCCAACGAGGCTGATGGGCAGTAGGTTTAGGATGGACAAAAGGAAATGATACTTTACACAGCGAATGATCAAAATGTGGAATTTGCTGCCAGAGGATGTAGTGATGGCCACAGATATAAACAGTTTTAAAAGGGGATTAGATAGATTCACGGAGGATAGGTCTATCAGTGGCTACTACCCATGGTGCCTGAGGGGAACCTCCACATTCAGAGGCACTAAAGTTCTGAATTCCAGAGCCAGGAGGCAACATTAAGGGGAGGCCTTGGCCTCTATGCCCTGTTGTTAGACCTCCAGAAGAACTTGCTGGCCACGGTGTGAGACAGGATGCTAGCCTAGATGGACCACTGGTCTGATACAGCAGGGCTCTTCTTATGTCTCATATTGTCCATTTCTGTTTGCTGCCGAAGGCACCAAAAGGTCAGACCAAAAAACCCCTCCATAAATTGCCACAAGGAGCTATATTAATTTGAAAAACAAACAAGTGCTCTCCCAAGAACTTTCCATTGTATTATAAAATTAAATTAAGAAGGGACTGAGGATTACTCAGTTTACAAAGTACAGCTGAGTCTCTCACTGGATAAACTTGTGGAAGCCAACAATTAAAATATTATTGAATTCTAGTGGGTGTCTGAAGTTTAATTTCACACATACACACAAGATACAATAGAAACTTCAGTGCTGCTTAATCACTGGACAAGCTGACTTGATATTGGACCTTCTGTCCCTTCTCTTTTATTTAAATTACTATGATGCAACATCAGCCAGCTCCAAAACACCCTAGTGGGTTGGATCCAGCTACCTGCTCCACCATCACCAAGCCAGGCTCGAACAACACCTCCCAAGTACAGGGACCTCTGGGTGGTGGCTCCTGTTTTATGGACCTCCCTTATCAAGAAATGTGGTAGATGTTCCCCACTGGCTCTTAGCAGAGGAGTAAATCCGTCCTGTTAAGCTGAAGGCTTTAAAAAGTCATGAGACCTAAAAATTATTCTGCTAGCTTTTTCTATAATTGTTTTTTATGGCTGGTTTGGTTTCATTGAATTTATTGTTACATGTTTAATGTATTTTGAAAACAGTAAAGTTGGAAGGCAGTTCTTAAACAGAAATTAACTAAGTAAATTAACAGAGATGTGGCACCACTGGGTAGAAAGAACCTCTGACAGAATAGGATGTCCAAGACATTGCTTCAAGCAGCTGGCCACACTGAAGAGGAATAACGCGACAGGCATCAATGCACATATCCTTCTCTTGGCCAGAAAATTTTGGTTGGTGGAGCGTTGGGAAATCTAGGGACAGGAGGGTGGGGGAGAGAGGGGGGGGAGCGAGAGAGAGATCCCATCAACAGCTGGCCGGTGCGTTCTTACCAGCTTGTGTGGGAGCGACGGCAGCGCTCATTTGCCTTGCATTCGAGTTCCCATTCCACATGCGGCTCGGCTGTGCTTTTTCAGGGCTGTGGATTCCTCTCCCCTTTTCTGCACTAGGAAATCCCCACTTCTCTTGCTGGCTCACCGCCCCTGGCCTGTGCCCTTGATGCGGAAAGAGGACTCCCCCCTCCCCCAAAACCAAGCTGTGCAACTGAGACTTCCTTTGCAGCATCACTGGAGCTGCACAGGGAGAAAGGGTGTCTATGTGAGCAGGGAGAGCCTGCCGCCAGCCCTGACTTGGCTGGCTCCTGGCCTGGAAGAAGGAGAGCCATCTAGAATGTGCTCTCTGCTACAGAGTGGGGAGCGCTCTCCTCCTGTAGTGACGCAAATGAGCGTGGGCAGTGCTCCCACCTTTTGGAGCGGGGTGGTGAGGCAGGACTCATGACTGAGGGGGCGTGCCCCCAAAATGCCCTGCCACAGCTACAGCCCTGAGCACCACTCACATGAACTGCAGGAGTGGGAAGGTGGGACAGAGATCAGTCAAGCTGCCATGGTGGCCATGAATGGTCAGAGGACATCCATGACATCCTGACCAAGGGCTGAAGTTGCTCAACCACCTGAGGGTCTCCAACACGTACCCAAGCTTAGCCAACTATCTTTAAAGGTGCCAGACCTACACTAAAAAGTTGTACTTTGTGCCAGTAGTTCTCAGCAGCTAACCTACCCCAAAAAGTGGGTCGCAAAGGTAAAATGTATATTGTCCTGAGCTCCACGGAAGGAGGGTAAGGTCAAAGGCCAACAAGCAAAGCAGCTGGTCTAACAGTCAAAGGCTGCTGCTTCAAATCATCAGTTCCAAAGCACCCCAGCTCCTTGAGTGCTCAGAACTAGGTGCAGAGAAAATCTCCTTCTTTTGTCCCATGTTTGGTGTAATGGGTTTGAAGGGCAAAGATCTTGATTGCATGATAGAAATCTTTCAAGCCTTTAAAGAAGCCTACCAGTCTGTGGCCTTCAGTTTGCAAGACCTGAGCAAGACTGTTAATGACAGCATGTTTTGGAGGCCATTACGGTAATTCATATGGTTGCCATAAGTTGGAAGTGACTTGGCAGCACGTCACACACACCCCAGCCCACCACCTTTAAAGGCAACATGAAGAAAAAGCACAAGATCTTACCTCTCCCTGGAAACTTTTCAATAGTGGAGCTACCTGTTTCCGCAGGTCCTGGAAAACAAAAAGCAAACGAGTACATCAGGAAACAGCCATGCTTAAAAAAAAAGAAAGAAAGAAAGAACAAAAATTGGAAGGGGATAGTTTTAGATTCACCAAGCTAAAAAAGAAATCGTTTGAATATATGCGAGGCATTTCCGTCAGCTACTCTCGCAGCGCTTTTTCATTTCACCAATTTTATCATATTAGCTGAAGGCTGATTACATTTTTAATCAAAACATTGCTATGAGCAAGGAGTGTAGCAAAAAAGAAAAAAAAATTAACTGGCTTATGAATCCAGCCCAGTACACAATTACGGCTGTCCCAGGGGAAGAGAATTAGTTAACAAAAGCCTGTAGTAATGTTGGGTAATCAGTGAACTCCTTCAGTCTAACAACTCAACTGAAACAGTGCAATGAATGACTAATGGGATGTAAAACATGTGTACCCGCATGGAAAGGGATCAAGCGAGACCCCTCCCTCCCCTGCCCCTCCAAGCAGAGCCTTCTTCCAAAATGACAGCAACTAGGCATCATTTATTTAGATTTACAGCCTTGCTGGCTCCATGGGATTTATGGTGGACTTGCTTATTTAGAGCAGGCCAATATCACCAGTGGCCTGCTTGCGATATCTCCAAAACCTCCATTCCCTAAGATGCCACACTCTTTGCGGCCATCGATATCCGACCCTTGAAAGCGAATGATGTCCATGCAAGGAAGGGCTTGTTCATTAGGCTAGCTGCCCTCAAGGGCACCCCCAACTAAACATGTCACCACCAGCTCATCTTGATCCAATGTCTCCCATATGCAAATACATACACACAGAGCTGGCACCAGAGGGCTAAAGGTGGCCAGAGAGAGCTGCTTCTCTGCCCCCTCCACCATCTCCCCAACTGGGAAACGGGAGATTATCCTGGAGGCCCCTACAAGGTCACAGGGGTCTTTGGGGCAATCTGCCGTCTCCTGATGAGAGAACATGGGGAAAGTTTTGCTGGCTGACTATAGGGGCCGCTAGCATACACTGGGCCTTGGTAGGTACCCAAGTATACCAAATCCTGGCACTGCCCCCATACACAAGCCAGGAGGTCTCTGTGGCATACCAAGGTCTCCCCCTACCAGCCTGGTGTGCGTGACAAGCTGGGAGCTACCTGTCAATTTGAAGGGTTGTTTCTCTCTCTTTAGGCGACCATTCATGTGCTACAAAGAACTACAACAAAGATGCAGGTGGGCAGTTCGGGGGAAACTAAGTTAGGGCTAGGAAGTTTAGGGTATTTGTTTGCAAAGCTGACAAGCAGATCACTAAGAAGAGAGGATACAGAAAGGTGGGAGGAGGACCAAAGAGGAAACTTGCTAGATCAGACCAAAGGTTCACCTAGCCCATCATCCCAGCTCCCACATTGGCCAACCAGCCAAGCAAGAAAACTAATGGCCCTCCATCACTCTCAACAGCCCAGCAACTGGTTTTCCAAGGTATACTGCTGCTGAGCAGGGGGGCTCCACTTACAGAGGCTTTCATAGCTAATCGCCAGTGACAGACCTCCTCCTCCTCTGTACGTTTTCTTATTCCTTTCTAAAGCTATCTAAAGTCCATGGCCATCGTCACCATCCAAAAGCTGTGAACTCCAAAATAAAATTATGCATTGGTCAGAAGACACAGTTTCTTTAGCCTCTTCTAAATCTATTGCTATCTGTTTCACTCAATCACCCTCAAGTTCTGGTGGATTGGGAGACCAATATTTAGGGTGAAACCCTCCCATGCTTGGGAAAAGGAGAGTCAAAGGAGAATTGTCAGCTCGCAGCTGATTCAGGAGTAGGCCTGTGGGTGCAGTGGTTAGAATGTCGGACTAGGATCTGGGAAGCTCAGTTTCAAACCCCCATTCTGCCATGGATGTGTGCTAGGTGACCCTGGGCCAGTCATGCACTCTCAGCCTAACCTACCTCGCAGGGCTGTTTTGATTAATACAATGGAGGAGAGGAGATGATATAAGCCACCATGGGTCTCCAATGGAAGGAACGATGGGGTATAAATAAAGTAAATTTGCATGTCTCCCTTCTGTCTCCTGGCTATCTTGGACAAGGCACGTCCAATACTTGTAATCTACCTCTGCCAAAATCTAATCTCCCAACTCTCTTGGGCCCTCCTGTATTTTAAAAAACAACAACCCAAAAACCCCCCAGAGAGTGATGTGCATACAGACAGCTAGTTTTAAGTGTCCTGTAAGGCTTTCTCTGCATGGCAGTTCTCTAACAACTGGCCACCTGGGTCAGCCGTGCTCTCTTATTTGGGATTACTCTGCAATCAAGCGCACACAATCGTCTGACTGCAAAACCTCAGCATCACCTCTGTAAAAATCTTCACTGACGCATTAATTAGTATGGGGTGCTTCCTCCAGTATTCTGTGGACCAGCGTTCAATATTGATGAAGAAATAAAAACACAGTGATGGCCTGAGCCCAAACTGGGGTGTGCCAAGTTTTAGAATCAAGCTATAAAGTTCTTAGTTGTATAACAGATATAATCTCCCCTTGTCCTTATCCAGCTTTGAGCCAAAAGGAGGAGATATGCTACTTAAACTTGACATTTATGATGGCAACAGAATCTTCTCGACACAAACTGGGTTATCATTAACAAAATATTTTTTAAATTTAAGTCGTAGAATCATGGAATCACAGAGTTGGAAGGGGCCATTCAGGCCATCTAGTCCAACACCCTGCTCAGTGCAGGATCAACCTAGAGCATCCCTGACAAGTCCTGCTTCTGCACTGGGATCCAGTTCCTCAAGTGGTCTCCCATCCGAGGGGATCGGCTTCTTGCCTGCTTAGCATCAGCAGTGTTACAACTCCAGCTACTTCCAGAATAGTGACTGGACCCTAGCACAGCTTCTCAGAGAACAAGCCTGACTGCCTTGTGCCCTGTCTGTAAGCATCCCACCAGTACCACCGCCACTCCCTATTTCACCAGCAAAAGGCATGCTTGGCTCTGACCCAGGGGGACGCCAGGTGGGATTCAGCCAGCACACAATCACCCCGACCTGGACACAGCAGGGAGACCAGCCAAGCAAGACTCCTTAGGCAGGTGGTGGGGGGTCACATTTGCTGACCCCTATTCAAAGGCGCAGGGTCAGCCTTGCTTCCTGGCCTGGGAAGGTAAAATACCCACTGACATGGTACATACCTACAGAGAAGCTGGAATACTGGCCTCTCCCATTTTAGGACTTATAAAGATACCAGGTATGGAGGGGGGGGGATCAGAAGGGGGGGGCAACTAGGCGATTACTAATGGTCTGTGCTGCTGGCTCCAAAGCTCCTGTTAGATTTACTGCTGGCAGCTTGGAAAAATTCCCCCTCCGACAATGTTCCTCACTATTACACACGTGTCAGATGTGGTTCCTCCTTTCTTTGCACTAAACCAAACGGACAAAAAAATAAGCCACTCAGCCTGATGCATGAGAAATCTGCAGCACAGGAGAACAAACAAACAAACAAACAAGGGCAATGGATGATTTTGCTGGTTTTGAGAAACATCCAACAGCCATCTGGGACTGTGATCAGAAGAGGCTGCTCCACAGCAAATCACTGGTCACACATTAATGCTCCCCCCAAGGGTCGGTGGCACCGAACACTTCGACAAACAATTGTCTGTTAACGCAAACAACTGGGCCTTTCCAAGTTCTTCTTCCCCCAAATAAATTCCTTTTCAAAGGTCTACTGCTGCTTGCCAGTACAGAGGGGGAAAGCATCAAGCTTAAAAGAAGTGGTTGCTGGAAACAGCAGGAAGAACAAGGTTTTATCTTCACTGTCGTTTTTTTTTTTTACAGGAAGGGCCAGGTTGAGACCCAAGACAGATTCCCTTTAGAGAAAAAGAAAACTAGGGTTTGTCCGAGCTCACTGATAAAGTGGGCTCGGACAAACCAATATTCTGTAAACTGAAAAACAATAGCACTACAGAGAAGATTAGAATTTCAACAGCCAGTCCACATGCAAAAGAACCTCCTCAGGAAACAGGAAACCTCCTCAGGAAAAAATCCACATGCAAAAGAATTTCCTCAGGAAACAGCCAATCCATATACAAAAGAACCTCCTCAGGAAAGCTCTTCCATTAGCATGTTTTCACAGCCTGGGGAACTCTTACAAGATAGTGACTCAGCCCCACCCCACCTTCCTGAGTAGGCGGGACTGCAGGAATACTGGCTACCCAATGGGGGGGGGGGGAGGATGAATGAAAAAAATGAAGCATGCCTCCAAAATAATCCAGGAAAAAACAATAACCTTGGGTCCCAGGTATCAGGAACCACCAGAATGGAGTCAGAACAAAGAGGCAGCAAAATAATCCTCTCTTCCAACTGAGAACTACAGAAACAGGCTAGAAGTATTCTGCCTTCCAAAGAGTGTCAGCTCACCCCCACACAAACACACAAAGCTGCCAAGAAAGGTCCTTTCTTGGAGGTACTTTCTTTTTAAGTTGGACATTCACTTGTCTGTATTATTTAGACATACTTGTCAAAGGTGGGACTTGGGCAAAGGGATCTGCTGATCTGGATCGCTTCCAACCGATCCCATGAAAAAGATCCTTTGAGATCACCAGGGCGCCCGGCTTCCCTGGCACCTTTCCCCATCCGCACCGAGCACTTTTGGATCCTTCCAAGGTCTCTTCCCGGTGCCTTCCCCCCAGCCCCCCTTCTGCAATCGCCTGCAAACGTGAAGCTTGTTTTCTAGAACACTCCAGCTATTTGCAGTCCTGGTTTGACAAAAATAACCCTCCGGGGATCTGAGACCTAGACGGAGTTCTCATCCGGAAAGTATTGTATCCATAAGCAAAATGAACTTTGAAGGAAGAGCTCCTGGATTCCCCAGCTCTGCCATGGCATGCGTACTCCACCCCCCCACCCCCGTACAGTGGGCTGGTGAGAGTCAGGGCGTGGGGGGGGGCAGAAGCCCAGTCACATCAGCTTCACTGACATCATTAGTTCAGCTGTCGCAGTCGATTGCGGAGCCAGCTCATCACGGGGGAGAGCTG